AATTTGTTTTTTCTGGAAACTTATAAAAATCAAATCATTTATTGTTAGCGCGTTTTTTAAATATTATTTTGGAATTTTATTCCAGAATTTAGTGAAGGTCAGTGGTCCACTCCTATCGGTTATAGATCGATAGGATTTTTTCTGTCCGGACTATGATCCGCGGTATTTTATTAATATTTATACCAAATATTAATGTATAAATAGCAACAGTATTTAAAATGATTTAAATTTATTCTAAAAATTATGGTACCTTAAGCAGACATTTGAAACATCAAATTTGTATCTTTCATAATAAAATCAGAGTTGTTAAGGAGCGCCGCTACATTTTTTCAAAAACAAATTGGGAAGCGGGAGCTAGCTCCTTTCAGGGCTGGAGTGGAAGAGCGCCGCTCCTTTAAATTTAATGTATAAATTAAATTATTTTTTAAATATTAATAATATTTATTAATTAAAATTCAATAAAAATGAAATTTAATTTAAATTTATCCACTATTAAATGTTTAGCCAAGTTTTATATTGGTTTTTCATCTAATCATTTTAAATATTAAACATCTAGTTTTTCCTTTTTATATTGAAAATTTTTTGGGAAATCTTGTAAGTCATATTAATAATCATTTTATAGATATATAATAAAAATAGTTTTAGATATTATGAATTTAGAGATCATAGATGAAGAAATCGAATTTCCATCATACAAAAAATATTTTAAACTTCTAAAAGATGTTGATCTAAATGATCAAACAAATTTAAGGGCAAAATGTCTTTTGTGTTTAAATAAAACTATTTAATTTTCAAAAGTGAGCAGCTTCAATCTAAAAAAGCATCTAAAAGTAAAAAATCTTTCTTTCAAATACAAATTAATTTGGAAGATTTTTTTGGATTCCATGAAATTGATCATCAGGAAGATAATATGGACAAATATTTTATAAATAATGATACCAAAATTACTATTTTTGATAAATTCCCTGAATTAAAAAATATCTTTATAAAATACAATACCCTGTTCCCTCTAGTGCTCCTGTGGAGTGCCTATTTAGTATTGTAAAACAGGTGGAGAAGCGTGGATGTTTGTTAGATTCTAATTTAGAAAATTTATTACTTTTAAAGGCTAATAAAAGGTTATAAATATTTTGATAGATCATTTAATATAAATAAAGCTTTTTGATAAAAATAATATGATTTTGTTTCGTATACCTTCTAAAAAAATGAAAATCAAAGGAGTGGTTATGGAGTGGCACTCCATTACTTGGACCGCGAGCTAGCTCCTTTTAAAAATTTAGTAGCGGGAGCGGGAGCTAGCTCCTTTTGAGAAGGTAGGAGCTGGAGCGGGAGCTAGCTACTTTTAAAGAGCGTTATCAACTCTGATTATAATTATATTATTGTGGTTCATAATTTTTATATAGACTCATACAATGCTATTCAGTTTCATACATATTAAAAAAATAAATAAATATTATATTTCATAAAAATATCTAGATGAAAATACCTTAAAAATCCAATTTACTCTTGATTTTAATGTGGCACCCACGTATATGAAGTTACTTTCAATACCATTAAATAAATATCATGTATTAACAAAATAATATTTAAATGATTTATAATAGACAAAATATAGATCAATCACCTCCATTATCCCGCTTCTAATTCCTTCTAGCTCAGTTCTACAAACAAAGATATTAGTATTTAATTAAATTGTATATTTATATTCTTTAATATTTTATTCTAATTAGATCTGATTTGTTAGCATAAAATATTTTTATATTTAATAAAAATTGTTCATATTTTTTATTTATATTAATTATGAAATAAGAAAAAATTATTTTTGGTAAACAATAATTAAATTAATTAACAATGAAAATATTTTTAAAATAATATTAAAATAAAAAGACAGGTCTTTTTATTTAGGACCACGGTCTAGACCTGTATTTTTTGAGGACTGTGATCGCCTGTATTTATAGGTGTGATTCGCGCCTTAACCTTCCCAATTAGCATGTATAACCTAGGAATCAGGTAATTTTGCCATGAACATTTGAACTATCCTTAATTTTTATACATGGGTTTTTGATAAAAGCTTAAAAAATATATATAATTCATGGCATTCTAAAATCTCTAGAGTGTAGTATGCTGGAATACTATTCCGACAAAATCAGGAATTTCAAATCGAATAAAACGAGATAATAATTTAAGTCTGTTACATCTGAATATTTATCATTGTAAAGGTTAAGATATATTTTAAAAGGTCACGTTATATATTTTAAAAGGAAACTTTCCGACATGTAATATTATATTATCGAGGTTAATCAAATTGCATATTATTAGAAGTTAAATTGGATAATTATATAAATGTATATATACAAAAGAATTACAAATAAAATTCATTATCGTTTTTAAACTTTAATCGATTTAATAAGACCCTACGACATATATAATTCATTAATTGCACAAACACATTAAGTGCAAAAAGCATTCTGGTATTCAAAAAATTTATGAATATAATTTCAAGCAGGGGTCTAGACCAAACCGAAACTTTTATTTACCGCATTTTTAAACTCTACGAATGTAGTACTATATAAAAATTACAGCGAATGCAATTTTACATCTTACGAGATATAACCAGTAGCGTCACTAGGGGAAAAGCGCGCAGTGGCTCGAGTCCCCTGAAAACTTAAAAAAAGGTCATTTTGAAAATGTTGGCTTAAAAAAATGTCATTTTGAAAATTTAAAAAAAATTTTTTTGAGCCCTCTTAGTGATGCCATTGGGTATAACTATAATATACGAGATGGCTACAATTAGGTTAATAATAATATTAATAAGTTTAAATATTTTGCTTAAATATAAAGTAGAATGGATAAGGGCTAGGTATCTACAAAACCTGGCCCGTTTATTTTTACAAAAATCAATCCATGCCCGATAAAATTTTACGAAAAGTCCGAATTTTTTTGTACGAATTTTTCGCCTATTACATTTTTAATATCTATATCTAATTTTTTTTTTCCAACATCAATTTCCTCATGGCTATCTATTTCTTTCTACATTAACCGTTTTATGAATAAAATGTGTCTGGTATTTGTAATCTGATCATATAAATAAATAACTTGTTTTATTTTTGTGAGTTTACTATATTATTTATGGATTTAGTATTTTAGTTAAACAGCTCTTAACAAAGAAATAAGAATATTGTAATTTATTTTCAAATACTATTAATCAAAATATAAGCTTGAAATTCAAAAAAAAGACATCAAATAATGCTCATTTGCAGATGCAGTCAAAAATTATATTAAAATATTGGCTATGTAAATAAATATAATTTTTACCTGATTTTACTTAAAAACTTGTGATATAAAAGCATAACAGGCCTAGGGTTATTAAATATAAATAATGAGATGGATAAATAGAGTTAGATTATAATACCTTAATAGATATAATATTTTTAATGAAAAAAAATCAGGGTTTAGAACCCGAACCCTCGATATTTCGCTGAACCCAAACCATTTTTTTTTTAATTTAGGGTTCAGGGTTCAAGCTTTTTTTTAAAAAAATTTTTTTATTATAATCGTGTAAGTCGATATTAGGATAATTCGACTAAATAGAAATTTTGAAATAGAAATATAACATTATTTTTTAAATTGTAATATTATATTATATATAAATTAAATATATTGTAATTATAATGATAAATTATTTTTATGGCAATACTAATTAAAATAAAAATTTTTTAAAAAATAATGTTTCTGTTATTTTAACTAATTTTTATAAGTCATTATTTCTCTGGTGGAACCCTGAACCCGAGCCGGGTTAAGAGATTTTTCACTGAATCAAAACCCAAATCCATTTTTTTAAAAGGAGGGTTCACAACCCTGTAAAAATTGATTATAAGTTTTTCGTCATAATGTGGGTAATTCATTCAAGGTAATATTTTTTGCGATAAAATGTGTTTTTACGGTAATAAATTGGGCTTGGGCTTTCTTACAATATACTTTCTAAAAAATTACGACTTACAAAGCTCTGCCTCGACCGAATCCATTAATCAAAAAATCCGTATAGCGAAAAGGTTTATCGATTGTCTTAAATTAATGTAACAAGGGGGAATATAATCTTTTCTATACTGTTCATTCATTCTTTGATTCAAAAAAATATTAGTATTAATATAAAATATTGAGAAGTCATGTAAATATTTTATTGACTAAAAAAAATTATATAGCGTTTTGTCCGGCGGAAATACATTATTATTACAATTGATATTTATATTAATTAAAATTTGGTTAAAAATATACTATATGTTATGTATCATATTATAATAAAAAATAAATATTCAAAAAATGAGTTTAGCGGTGAGGTGAAATAATTGTGTAAAATTTTTTATATAGAAAATTTGGATTTAAGGTTCTGATACATTTCTTAACAAATTATTTATTCATATTTACTCAACGAATATAAATTTTTCTATTTGTATACAACTTATTGTTTATTTAAAATGTTAGGTAATCCTCTATCGTTTGTTATGCATAATAGCAATTTTTTGAAGAATATTCTATATTTATAACAATTCAAGTGCGCACATAATTATTCATATTAAAAATTATACAATTTTACAAATTATAATATTTTTCAAATATAAATATACAGCGTTTCTGATTGATTTAATAGAATATAGTGCCGTATCCATTCGGAGCGAAAACTCCAAAAATAGTAATTAAGTTTAAAAAAATTATTATATTACAGACCATGTTGACTTTTTAATTTTAAATTTTATTTTAATTTATAATATAGACATTTTATTCTCTTTATAAGTGAGATATTCTGTATATAAATGTAATATAACTCAGTTTGTGATTCCTATAAAATTTGTAAAGAATGATAATAGGAATTAACAAGGAATATTTAAAATCACGATTGATTAACGAAAAAATAAATAATTATATTTTTATTTTTAAATATATTATGATGGCATTAAAATTTGTGGTGATATTTTTATAATAATTTTTTTTAGCAAGCGATGATTAATATTTAAAAAATATAAATAGGACAAAATTAAAGCGATAATAAAACGTTGGACCCAAAAAGGTAAAAGAAAGCTATAGATTATAAAATAAAAGAATCGCGGGAAAATGTCAGATAAAAATTTACTTAAAATCCTTTCAAAATTACGAGTTTAAATAATTGTGGATATATATGCCGACGGTTTTAGAGCAATTCAGTGCAATTAGACAAATAGGTTTAAACCCTGGTGCTTAGAAGAATATCAGTTTTATATTTTTTACAATTTAAATGATATTCGTCAAAGCATAAATACTACGACATAATATGCATTATATAAATTTGAAAAAAAATTGGAACAAAACAAAATAATTTAATAATGGTAAATATATATCAATCGTGAGCCAATATTTTAAACAGTTCTTCGTCTTGTAAACATCCTTTGATAAATTCTTCCTCTGTTAACAAGCCGTCGTTGTTGGTGTCCATTTTAGAGAATATTTTTTTGGCCCGTTCCTCTGGACTCTCTTTAGTTTTGTCCATCTCCGGACCTAACATGTCGTATATTGCCTGTTTTATTTATTTACAATCAATATTTTTTTTACATGTTTGTGCAAAGCAGTCATCTATTAATAAAAACCAGTTTTGAGTATCTTAAAAAAAATATTTTCTTCAATCCTCCCATTTTCTATGGTAGTGGGCCATTTGCGTGGAAAATCTCATTAAAGATAACCCACTCATATCAATAATGTATGCATAATATAACTCAATTTCATATTTATTTGAATTTTTATTTAACATCAAACCTCGATAATCTTGACCATCTCCGAGAGCTCTATCGTGCCGTTTGAGTCGATATCGTACATCCGGAAGGCCCATTTTAGTTTTTGTTCGGGACTTCCAGAAGATGTCACGTTTATGGCCAGTAGAAATTCTTGAAAATCGATGTTACCGCTGTTATCGGTATCGAAAGTCCGAAATACGTGATCGCAAAATTCTTCGGCCGAGCCGGATGGAAAAAATTGCTTGTAAACTTCGATAAATTTTTCCCGACTGAGATTACCCTTGGGGCAATCTTGCTATAATTTATTTGGGATAAAGAAATATGTATGAAAGGGTATGTAAAATCACGAGAATATAAATAAGATATCCCCATGATTATTCGTATAGAATGGTTAGAAATATCCCATGCACAATCGCCCTTAAAAAATTTGAGATAGATAGCTTAGAACAATAGACAAATGTGGTGTGGTGTTTAAAAAATCTCGCCTATAAATAAAATTTCCATTGAACCAAAGCCTAGATGAGAATAGTGAGCGGCTCCTAAAAACGAAGGGCGTATCCTGTTCAGATTTCAGAGGAAATATTATTATCATAAAAAATTATTTCATCTTCACAGAAATCTTATTAACATGTTTATAATATATGTTTTTACCCATTTGCTTCAAAAAAGTTTAAAGATAACGATTATGACAATTATCACTTTTCTATGGTTCTTCTTTCCCAAAAATTTCAATTTAACATGTTTACAATTTATTTTTTATCCATTAGCGTTAAAAAGATTTAAAAATAAAGATTATATGACAATTGTCACTTTTCTATGGCTCATTATTTTTAATAAATTGGTGCAAGATTGATTCAATGATAGTTTTAAATTTTCTATTAGCCTCAATAAATTTTAAATTTATTGCAATAAACTATTTTTTGATATCCTGCCCTATGCTTTTCCTCGAAATTTCATTTTATAAACGCGCAAAAGGAATTCGGTTTTATTAATATATTAATCATTGAGTTCATTAGCTAAACCTCGATCCTTATTGGCGAAATTGATATATAGGTTGCGCCAATATTTATTGTCTGAAGTCTTTAATATGTAGAAATTTATCAATCATGTTAATCACTAGAGTTATAAGCTATTAGACTATCTTCATCATATTTTGAATGGTGATTCAAAAATAAATTACATTTAAGCGAAATTAGGGATTCTTTAATCAAAATATTTTGAATCTTATGATTATACGATCTTAGATATTTTTTTTATCTTTTCTGTAAAATATTAGTTCAAAATTTAATAGAAATCTGAATCTAATATTGAGACGCAGCCTTAAGCATGTAGTTTGTCAAACTTTTCATACATTAATTCTATAGTTTAAGTCAATATGTAATGTTTAACCACAATATATATAGGTTAGCGCTATAGCATATATTATTATTTTTCCCTTAATTGCTCAGATTTAAAAATACTTAAAGTAATTTTTACTTTCTCTTAGAAATGAATTTCTTATAAAATAAAATATATTGCGCAGAAATATTTACAATTTATTTTATTTAAATGTATAATCATGTATTTTTTGGGTTTTCAAATTAATCAATATTCTGTGTCTTAATAATAAAATAATTCAGAGAAAATATTAAAGAAACTACTTAGGAAAATCTTCTATGATTTTAAAAAATAATTTGAGAAAATCAGCAAAAATTCTTAATTTTACTATTTTTTTACCTTTGATTGAAAAAATTTCTAAGCATTTCAAAATATTTTTACAAATTCACTTTTTATAAAGCACATTTAAAAAATTCAAAATTTACGTTGAGGGGGAGGGGGTGAATTTAGGGGTAAAAACCATAACCAAATATCCCTTCCATACTTACAATAATGAGTGGGAAGAGTCCAGAAAGATATTGGTTAATTTATTTTTTATCATATCAATAAAGATTACATGCTTGCTCAGGCGCGTAACCAATGGAAGGGGGGGGGGGGTCTCCCCTATCGCAAATTTGACTGTTTTCATAAATATTATTTTGAGCTAATAAAAATTTACCCCCCCCCCACCCCCCCCCCTTTTCAAAATTTTACAAATATTTGAATATCAATTTTTCAACATAAAACTTATATTTTATAAATAAATTTTAATAAAATTTCCTATCCTTGGGAGTACATTAACATTATTCAAAAAAATTAATAAAATGGAAATTTTTTAGTCAAATAGATTGAAATCAAAACGGTAATTTATTTTATTATTATATATAATTATTTTATGAATTTCAAAATTATTAGTGAGTTAGAATTAATAAGTATTTTTAATAATATTTTAATTATTAATAAATATCTATAATTTTTTAAATATTTTTCATTTTTACTTCCATTTTATAGAACAGAAGAAATAGAAATACAAAAGTTAAATAAGGCTGAGCATGAAAAAAATGTACAAATACAAATTGAAGGAAAAAATGGTGAATTCGAATTATGGTATAAATATTTACTACGTTTAGCTATTTTACCTGAGCATGTTATTGATGCGCTCAAAAGAAACCTTGGCTCAATTTCCTAATATTTTGAAGTTGTTTTATATTCTTGTATGTTTGCCTATTACAACATGTACGAATGAAAGGACTTTTTTCAATTTGAGAAGGTTGAAAACATATTTACGAAGTACTACTTCCGAATCTCGGCTAAATGGGTTAGCTCTGTTAAATATCCATAGAGATTTGGTTCCAATGACAAACGAAATTCTTGATGAATTGGCAACATTCCCACGAAGATTAAAAATCATATTATAATTATAGTATTTAATAAAAATTTTTGTATAATATTATATTTGATAAGAAGTTTAAAAAAACTTGATTTTTTAATTATTTTCTAGTAAATATTTTATACACACTACTATTAGTATTTTCAATAAAAAAATTATATTCTACTTATATTGTATGAGAATTTAAGCTGAGGCTAGTTTTTAAAGCAAATTTAATAATAAAAAAAAATCCAGGATACGCCACTGTGCTTACTTAATAGACAATAGGTAACAAAAGATCCATAAAACATTTCGCATTTATGATTTGAGGAACTTTTGTAGGTAAATTAATATTTAATATGTTGTTTTTCTTTAAATAAATGCAATCGCAATATATTTATTGTTTCGCGATAATGACATCGCGCAAAAATATTCGCTGTAAAGGGTTCACAATAAAAGTTTCGCTAAAATATATTCGCGATTAAGGTTTCGTGGAAATAAATCACGATAATGATTTGCGATATTGTCTTCGCTAAAAATGTTTCGCAGAAAAGAATTCGCGGAACTGGTTTCGCGATATTACCTTCGCTATAAAATTTCTTAGCGATATTACCTTCGCTATAAAATTTCTTAGCGATATTACCTTCGCTATAAAATTTCTTCGCGATAAAAGTTTCGCTGAATTGACCTGATACGGAAATATATACAAAAAATAAAAATCAATTTAAATTATTTTCACAAGTACAGCATATAAAATAATATAAGATAGAAAGGTAAAATCTTCAAGGATTATTTAATTAATTGGGTAAATATTTTTTGCTGTTTAAGCCCATTTTTAGAAGGCTAAAAAATCGCTAAACCAAATTGTTCTTAAAAAGATAGCAGCTCAAATTTGGAAAAAACTAATATTTAAAACGCCTTAATGTTAACGGATTTTCTCTGGCAGATAACTGGAGATTGAGCCAATTAGCTGACATTTAGCCATTACCCAACTTTACAACAAAAATACATGTGATTATCTATGCTGTGTAAAGAGTTTGATTTGATGATGGCTTGATGATACCTTCACTTTTTTATTATATGTTTCATGTTTTCTTTATTTCTCTTAAACCCTCCTGTTTTTCAATCATCGACAATGGTGATATAGATGATTGGCTCCGATTTTACCATGAGAACACATTTGGGATCGTATATCATATGAATACGAATCTTTCTCATAATACTAATATGAATACAGTATTAGTAACAAAATTTTTTATTAAAAACATATTGCAATCATCATATAACCATTTTGGCACAGGATATTTTCAAATATAAATATCTGAATTGATTTTTAAATTAACGAATAAAGAAAAAGAGCAAGATGGTTTTACAATAAAAATTAATATAGAGAATATCCTAAAATAAAATCGCTAGTTTACTTAAATTTTACAGATTTTCTCGAAATTGTCTTTGCCATTTCTAAAAAAAATTGACAACCTTTTGATGTCATTTGATTCTTATTTTGTATTCAGCTTTTTTTCCTTGCATCTTTCAGACATTTTTCCCAAAAATAAAATATTAGGCATGTTAAGTACTCCCTCCCCTAGGGACGCTACAGATTGGCATCTAATATCTAGTCTCACTGGAAAATAATTTTAACATAATTTATTATAGCATAAATATATATGACACATTTTATATTATTTTGGTGTTCGATAAATTTGCTTATTAAAAATATATTATTATTGTTCTGCACGAAATACCTCAAAATTTATAGCCATTTTTATAGATTTTTTTAGATTCCAATGTAAACAAAAATTAATTTTTCGGAAATTTTTTTATATTATTTTTCATAAAAAATTTATAAATATTAAGCCAAAAAATCATGAGTTTAGATTAAAAGAAAAATATTTTTATGGTTTTATTTCAAATAATTTACGATAACATCTTCAATATAAATACTGCTGTAAAATATTGAAGAAAGTAACGCTCTTTCTTTTTTTTTAAATTCCCGAGTAAGGGTAATTTTCTAAAATCATGTTTCTTACCTAATTAAGATGAGCCTGATATTAACTTCCGGAGACCTATTTCAAAGGCATTTTTATGGATTATGTAATTGTTAATTAAAATATTTTAAAATAATTGTTTACATTTCTCAAGATTATAACATAGATTACTTAAGTATACAATTTGGATCGCTCCAATAACTTTAGCAATGATTAGCATTAAGAAACGGCTTATGTTTCACTCACTCAAGAACAACATTAGCATCTAAAAATTCCTGAATATGTATCGAACTTATAAAAAGGTTTTCTAGAATCAGGCCAGATCTCAGCAACAAATTTAAATATTAACTTTCATATTTCTTTATATCGGATAGTTAGGGTATAGTGTTGTTAAATAGTTTAATTTTTAAAAACGGTTAACCCAATATTTTAGACAAAAATGTTATGCGAGTTTCAGGATTTCGTTAATAGATGTATAAACCTTTCCTCCAACTATGAGCAAATTCTCCAGGCTTGCGTAATATTTATGGCTAAAATATTGGGTGAGCCGTTTTAAAAATTAAGCCGTTTAACAACACTAGGGTTAGGTAAGAATAGATTTTTGTAGAACTGGATCGGACCTAAAAATAGGTCACATATAGGCTCTATTAGAAATCTTTGCTTTTATGGGGAAAACAATTAAATCTACGAATGAATCATATGAACGAAAGTGTTCGAAATCGAGATCGAAGGCCTGTCTGATATTAAAGACACTTTGTTATTTATATCGATTTAGTTTTTGCTGTTGAAATAAATAAAATTTTAGCTGGCCGAGTTTATAATATATTAACATTTAAAAGTATACACCATAAAATTGGCTATAATTAATCAAATAAAATATAATGTTGTACAAAAATTATATTAAAAAATATAATATATTATATAAAACAATTTTTTTTAAAGGAAATGATAAATTATCGTAAAATATTTTTAAATGACAAAATTTATTCATAAAAAATATGTAAAAAAATAAAAAATTAATGAAATGTATTTGTCGTTATTTTAATACATTGAAACAGGATTGTAATCACCTAGCTAAAGTGACTCCTTGACTGATAATTTTAATCTTTCTGAATTAATTATAAAACTGTTATATAAGGGCCAAAAATGAACCTACCCTATGAATAGCCATTTGATGAAGGCTAAACCAACGGCAGATAAAAATTAAATTCTAATATAAAAAATACAATATATTACAGAATTTACCTCAAACCTGTAAAGCATCATGCTTAACGTTAAATATATTATAATAGTTTAAATTCATGAATCTATATAAAATATTTTTATAACATTAATCTATTTTATATAATAGAAATATTATCAAATTTGAAATAATTTTTTAAAAATTAAGACGCCATTTTATAAGATCAGATCGAAAAAAATTATAATGTTGGCTGATAACCGATATTTTAAAAAAGATGGAATATGGACCCGATCCGATATAAAATATCGGTGCAATCCTAATTTTTATGTCATGAAAATTTTATAACAAATATATGTAAACTTATCTGGTGAATAATATTTTCATAAAAGTAATCAATTTATAAGTCTTATCTTTCTCTTAGATAGTTTATCCCTCTAAGTATTCAGTTTGCTTATTCTGCTTGTAAATGTTATTTGAAATAATTTGGTCCTGTAAGTACTTAATATGTTTTTTATTTAATATGTAAATAATAGCTTTAAAGTCACTAGTCCTTTTTCTGGGGATATTTCATTTTTATGTATATATTATATAATTTTTTATGGCATGGGACAGGACTGTAAATGGGGTAGAAAACTAATAAAAATTTTAACTCTTAGAGCTATGTAAATATCTCAAATTTGGTCAAAAGATGTATTTTTATATATAATTCCAAACTATCTGTTCAAACATTTGAAATTTGCAATCAGGAGATATTTTATAAAACTTTTTTTGCACTTTCTCGCCAAAATATTTTTGATATTTGTTGCCTTAAGAAATATTTGTGAATTAGATTTTTCAAAATTTATATAAGTTGATTTTGAAGATAGGTGTCAATTGAAATATCTCATGCCTAATTTAATCATTACATATGGATTCTATTAAAGTTGGTAATAATAATCAAATTTTGTAATATTAAATGTCATCAACTAAATAAATTTTGAGTTTTTACGTTTTAAACAATATTTGACCTTCGAGAATCATAAAAAAAAGCCAAGTTGGGAGACCAATTGTGGTAGGTGATGACTGGTTTACAGTCATAAATTATATTAATGTTTCACCCTAGGTTTATTTCTGCCCTACCCCGAGCATAAAGTCAAATTGAGAATTTGAAACCTCTACCAGTATGGGGTCAACTCTTAATCTATGATGGGTAGAGAATATTATTATTTTTAGCTTATGATTTGGAATAAAAATTTTTATCGCAAAATTTCTACTCGGTCTCCTCTACAACAAAAATTGAGTTAGTTGTGGATATATAAGTAGCTTAAAATATATCTAGTATCAAACGTTAGCTTTTATATAATCCAAAAATAGAAGAAAAATAACGCCCAAAAGTTGGTAATTCAAGTTTATTTAAATAACAATTTTTTTGAAAAGCCAGTGCTTCAGAAAAAGTAAACTAATATATAAGTGAAGTTAAAGCTACGTTGTTGATATATTCGTAAAGGTTAAACTTAAAAATATGAAACACAATTTGGGATATTGTCGATTCTCTAAAGGTAGACATTCTCGGCACAGTGCAGTTAATGGCACCATTCTCCGTGCTCTACGCTCAGCTCAAATTCCAGCAACCCTCGAACCCTGTGGCCTCTCAACCGAGAATAATATACGTCCAGATGGGTTGCCATTAATACCATGGAGTAATGGAATTCCATTAGCATGGGACTATACCTGCATCGACCGATTTGCTCCCTCCTTTAATAAGAACTCATTCATGCGAGCTGAAAACTCGAAAATTAATAAATACACTTCCCTAACAAATTGCAATCTCACACCAATCGTATCCGACACAACCGGGTCTTTTGGCAATCATGCCCTAACCTTCTTCAAAACCCTCGGTAAAAAAATCCGCGCCATCACTGGTGATCCTCAGAAAGGCTTCTATCTCAGACAGCGCATATCTATTGATATATGCAGATCTAACTGCATTGCCATCCATGGCTCTCTTTCTTGACCTCCTCCCACCCAACATACAATTCACTATTCTAATTATTTTATTTTTTTTATTATACAGTTTTTTATATAGATTTTATAGTTTACATGACATTTTTAATATATATATTTTTTTAAATTACGTATATATGTTTTACTTTTAACGTTCAATGTATTAAATATTTTTATTAATAAAGTATATATCAAAAAAAAAAAAAATTAATTAACTAGCAATTCCATTTTGTATGATAAATCATATGTTTAAACCATTCTAATCAACAACGAGGTGTATATTCCGTTTAGTTACATAAGGCCATCAGCATGATCTTATGCCGATACTAGAACGATTGATGGACAGGCCTCTTAAGAATCGCGGTCTGGTCTCTGTTTCAGGTTTTATGATTCTTGGTTCCTGGTTACCATGTTTGAACCCTTGAATGATTTATGTAAAATCAATGAGTCCCAACGGTCAACATCAATATAAATATTTAATTTATAGATTCAAACCAAAAACTACGAGTTCGATTGCCCAGTGTACTACGATTGGCAATCTTATTGTAATGTTAGAAAATTCCAGCTTAATTCTTTTAACAATTTCAATCGTATCCAGACATCGAAAAAAACGGGAATAAATAGACTAATCCTCTCTTCTCGAATTATTTTAATTCTTTTCAGCTAAGTGGAATCTTTATTTCTTTTTTCCAATAAAAATAGCAATGATAAATAAAATAAAATTCCTTGTCAATACTCGATTAATCTATTATTTTAGTTTTTATCTTGTGATGCATTCTATTCGCTTATAAAAAAGGTGTATATACTAATAAAACTGCCGTGATTTGTAATTATATTATTTTAAGTTTGAACATAATATTATAATATAGTCTAAATAAATTTTATTATCACCTAGACCTGCAAGCACGACCAAGCTGGCCGTTAAATATGTAATTTTGAAAATGGGAGGCGGGTTTAAAAAAAAAAAACCCGAGGCCTAAAAATTATTATTTTTATAAAAAAAGTCGAAATAAATATTCTAAAATCAGGAAAGACCATAAAATTTTGACTTCCGCAGGTGATTATCACCTAAGTGAGATCAAATTATGTAATATAATCTACAGGGGGTTTGGAAAGCATAATATAAAAGTATCATAACATAATCAGAGATATGAAATGTTTGTATGATTCTACGAAAAATAATATATACACTGGCTCATTCAAAAATACTTGCCTTTATTTCTTTAATTCCATTTTGCTTCACATAGCAATATAATTATTTTTGTAATTTTAAGATTATAAAAACATTTTTTAGTAATCAAAAATAATTTTATAAATTAATATTATAGGATAATTTTGTTACCAAGTTAGTGTCGAGAAAGTTTTTTGACACTGAAATTTATATTAATAAAATACCACCGCCTAAATATAAATGATAATTTTTGAACGCCTAAATTACTACTTAGATGTAATAATTGAATTGATATATATTATAAGGATTAATGAAAAATAATTGTATGTTAAATAAAAATAAAATTACACTTTTTATATGGAACGCGTCCAAAACATTAGAATGGAACATAATTATATGGCTGTAAAGGGTATGGAACAGAACGAAAAAAATGCCTTTATTCCGGGTCACCATTTTTGCACTATTATATAATAATAGACATTTAATATCTAAGATAGATAGTTTTGACTATACCAACTCGAACGATAATTTATTTTATGTTTTTCTAATTTTAAGATCAGACTTCCCAAGCTTCAAGTCAATTAATGCAGTCGCGCCTGGGGAAAATACAAAAAAAATACTTTTATGACATGTAAATGAGTTAAATAAGTAAAAAAAGTTATCAATATAAATAACAAGGTCCTCTATACCTCCCCCACCCCTCTCTAAGTCAATGACGACTTTCTCCCTTCTCCCCCCCCCCCGCCAAATCAAAATTAGCTAAAAAAGGGAATTTAAATACAAATTAGCAAAAAAGGAAATATCCAAATCCCTCGACTTGCAGTAGAGTGATGGAGCAGTTAAAATTTATTGAAAATAAGGCTTGAAAATAAATTTAAAAAGATAATAATTTAATTACATAAAATCCTTTGTGCCACTCTTTGATTTGTTCTTCGGAAAAATTTGTATTAGCTTTGAGAAATGCGATTTCGTCGGCGGTTAATTTGTTTTTCTTTGCCAGTTTGTTGCCCATATTTTGATGATACAATGGTAGTGAAATTTATCTATATAAAAACAAATTTAAAAAAATAAATTGGATGATTTTTGGTTATATTATATACTAGGAAAAAATATGAGTAATAAATATTTACATAAAAATTGATTTTTAGAGCTCATAAATAGAAATACAAATTCAATTTATAAAAGTAGTCTTCATTTAATGAAAGAAACTATAATACGGTTGGAACGGAATTTTGAATAAATTTCAGTAAAAAATATATATGGCAAGTTATATTTTGATTTTTTTAATCAATTTTAAGATCCAAGTATATTAAAATATATTATTTAAGTGTTTTATATGCAAAAGTATAAATTTGAGCCAGGGTATGAAAGGAGTGAAATAAAAAATCTTATAAATTATTTTTAAAAAAATTGCAGTTAATAATACAAATAACTTAATCAGAAACTCGTCATACCCGGCTTCAGACGTGTGGGACTTGGAATAGTAATTGAAGGGCTTTATAATTTATATATATGAGAAAGTATTGTAAGACAAGGTAAAAAAATAATTATTTATTTTATCTTAATTTATTTAATAGATTCATAATTGTCTAAAATAACTAACTCATCTTAGAAGTGAATTGTAATTAAAAAAACAAATTATAATTAATATTATCTATAATTTAAAAAAAATCAATTTTACAGAGACTACTTATTTAAAACAATTTATTTATCTAAATTCATTATCATGATATGAACATATTAATGCTGATCTGAGATCAATATGATATTAAACTAATATAATCGAAGAGTTTTTATCATAGGCGCATCGAATTCAAATCACAATTTCGCTTCTCATATATTCAAGATCCTTTTGGTAACATTTATAAAATAAGGACAAAAATATTTATAATGAACAAATTTAAAAAAATAATAAAAGAGTTGGGTTAAGGCTAACAAAAAGGACGGGACAAGAAAAGTGTAAACACGAGGTACGGGTGCGAAATTGTATGCCTTTGCTGGTTTGTGATATATAGACTAAATATACAAATTTGAAGAAGAAAAAAAATTGCCCCCTCCACCTAAATTCCTGGTTTTAGCTGATCGTGTATCAAAATTTATTTATATTATATTCTGTAAATATAAATATGATTTATAAAACAATTTATTGATTTTAAATCTGCAATCTTTAATAGAATTCTTAATGTTTACTGCAAACATATTTTGTTCGTTTGTAAAAATTACGCGCAACATAATTTAATTAAAATATAAATATTTTTTTTTAAGCTTTACTATTTTATATTGTTAAAAAACGTTTGTAGTAAATTATTATTTTTAAAATTAAAAAATGTTTAAGATTTTCTGATTCCGCTTTTAAGAGGCCTATCCAATTTGCGAATATCACTTTGATGTCGGTCACCATCACCGATATCTGCCGATGCTATTATGGTAAAAATGTATATTATAGAATAAACGAAAAATATAAGAATTAAATTTGCATATAAAGTAAATGAGCATATTTTTAGAGAAAAATTTCTGATTCAATATTAATATTATATCATATATAATGTTTAATTCGCTATTTGCCATATTTGGTTCAATAATTTATATTAAAAATATGAATGAATCGATCCGGTCCAATATTTAGAAAGATAAGAGGAAATCACTAGTTATAATATAATTTGCCTGTCAAAATAGGATTTGGTTATTTATCTAATGTTAGAAATTGTACAATTTAAACAAAGGTATAAGAATGTAAGTTTAAAGATATTCTTCACAGATTTGAAATGATATACTTCAAGTTTAAAATGATAATTTTCAAGGAGAATGATATATACTTTAACTTTCCAATAATCTCCTAATATTAAAGGTTTCTCCGTTACTTCATATTCAAATCATTTTGAGAGGCCGCTATGATTTATGAGAGCCTGAAAAGTTGAACCTCTATATTTTTAAAGGTAGTGATATTACTCGTGCCACATTGTCAATTTATTAAATAAAGCTAGATTTTATTAAAATAAAAGTATACCGTCATTTTTTTAAATGTAAACTAACCTTAATCCATTCTGGGGATGCAAATGTTTAACATACATGTTTCGCCAGCAGATACATACAAATAAGGAGTAAAATCTATTATTTTTATCACCTAACAAATATGTGTCACGAAGTTGAAGATATATTAATATTAACTCTAAAATTTAATTTTAACATTTTTATAAAAGGTAAAACGTTACTAATGAGAAAGTTAAATGCAGGAAAATTTAAAATGATTTTAAAATAGAAACTCAGGGAACCGAAATTAAAAACATTAAAGTAGGGGAAGATTATTATAAAAGAGTGCTAAAAATTAGCTCGTCGCACCAGCCAAATCGATGGCGTAGACACCATGGAGTTGGCGGAGAAGGAGAGGGGAGGGGGTCGAATAAGTTTTGCAAATGTATGGCCCATGTGAATCTCCCCCTTTCGTGGTGGCCAGAAATTTTGCGTAACACCTTTGAAAACAATATAACTAAGCCTTGAGAAGCGAGCATAATTAAAGTTCAAAATAAGAGCTGATAATTTTCTATTAAAAACTCGGCTAAGCACTTTTGGTATCAACCAAAAATCCGGTCAAACGTAATTTAATCACTAAATATAATAATTTTATGAAACATAATTTAACTTCAAACATGAATGGAAGGAGTCATGAATATTTTTACGATGTAACATAAGATCGAAGAAAAAGTAAGCGCATAAATTTGAAACCTGAAGTTTTGAGCATCTTATATTATTATTAGGAATGTACCAATATTTTATATAGAATCGGATCGCACCGATATTTCACCTATTTTTAAATATCGGCTATCGGCAAATATTATAAAATTTTCCGATCCGATCCGATATAAAATGGCTTTTTAACAAAAATAAAATATTAAAAAATTTTTAAAAAAAGTTATATATCAATAAAATTGAAATCCATTTTTATGTTTAATTTTTTTAATAGTAATAATTAAATAAATATTCTGCCATATTGTTAATTTTATTGCATTCTGTTTATGAAAGTGTGAAATAATCTCTTCAGAATCTGTTTTTAATGAAGCTAGTGATATAGTCCCCATCACTGCAGACTGACCTCTGATAAATTGGAAATTTTGGTATTTCCAAAAAGAAATCTTCGATATAATAAAATTTTAGAATTTATTTAATTTTATAATATATTTGTTTATTACTTATTATGTAAATAGATTAATGTTATTACTTATTAAATTATATGAATAAGTGATTTTTCAATAAAAATATTTTATATACTTTTAGAATAGCAATTAAATTGAATATAAACTATAACTGATCATTATAATATATTTAAATGGCATTGGTATAGTTAAATTATAGATGTTATACTAATAAAAAGTATATTTTAATTTAAAACCATTGGTATCTTTACAGAATACAAAATTAGATATGATATCGGATCGGTAATCGGCCGATATCAATTTAATATCGGGAATATCGGATCGGATCGGCCTCCAAAAAGTGGCATCGGTACACCCCTAATTATTATAATAAAATTTGATTATCCACCATAATTTTTTATAAATTTTAGCCTCTATTTAAAATTGTTTCACCTCATCTAAACTGAGCACCTTTCTAAATCCAATATAAATTATAATATATAACTTTTTAATAAAAGAAGATAGATGATGATGTCAATCGGAAGAATTTGGTTCCATTGCTTAAAATTAGAAATGAGTTTCATTGGATTAATTAATAATAATTAAATAAATCACATTCTTCTCCTTGATTAAAAAAAACCAAATTATCACAAAAATCTACATGAAATTGAGAATTGCGATTCACAAATATTTATATGAAAATGAAATTGAGTTATAGGAAAATTAATTAAATAATGTTTGATATTTACCATATGAATGAGACAAGAAGGATGATTTTCTACTATAACCAAATGTATAAAAAAAATTTAAAAATTGATAATATTTTTTCAAAATAAATTACATAAAATTTACTGAAAAATAATGATTTTGATATTAAACATCCTTTAAAAAAGCGAAAATAGTAGGATATATATTATTCTATTCTAAAATCTAATCAATATCGATAATGATATCGAGTAATGTTTAAAATTTATCAAACAAATATATCTACTTAGCTATTGCTAGTTTCTTTCCCTTCTCCTATTTCCTTTCTTAATTTAGATTTAGATAATGCTAAAAAATATGTTTATAATAATATTAGATAGCTTATTAAAGTTTGTTTGCATTTTCAAATGTTAATAAGATTAAATAATTATTTTATAAAATAGGTCACGACCCTGCCCTTATGCAATGCATGAGTGTGGGCAAAAGCGCCATAAACTTCAGATTTTAGGGGCGCTAATTTATTTTAAAAAATTAAATATAAAACAATCTGAAAAGGCAAGCTATTATAAAAATTACAAAATTTGAATAGTTTTTTGATCTCTAGAGAATAGGATTTTGGCAAATGAAGTTGCTTCGATCATGATTTTCTACACCCCTTGGAATTTATATCTTACTTTGTCTTCAAGCAAAGGTATAACCAAGGGAGTGCCCAAATCTTAGCATCCTAGCTCTTATATTTTGGAAGATATCAAGGGTTAAAGTATAAAATATGACTTATTTTACATATTAATTGTCTTTTAAAAGATTTATTAAAAATTAAAATAATGATCCTAATTAGTGATCTGCATCGGGTCTATTTTTTCAAACCTAGCCCGAAATTCTTTTCGAAATTTAATTTTTTTTTTATTGTAAAAAAAATATTCTACAAATAAAAAATATTAGCTCCTTGTTTCTTGCAAGAATTTTAAAATATATAAATTTATTTGTCAAAATGTAATGATATCATATTTAAAAATTTAAGCCCGACCCGAATTGTTTTTAAAATATTAGGCCCGACCTAGCCCAAGCCGAAATTATTTTTAAAAATAGACCATTCCGGCCGGCGTGATTTGCAGATCTCTAATAGAATCTCTGATATTTATGTCAATAATTAGTGCATATTTCATATTATGACTTCAGCCCACTTGGTAGATAGTTTAAAGAAAAAC